ATATATTTTTCAATAAAATAATATTACTTACAAATCTAAAATTTTTCCTTACTTTTTAACCACACATTCTCCATCAAAATGCTATTCAAAAATACATTTTCATCAAAAAAATAGACTCAAACATGCTATTAATTTATTACACTTATGAATACCTATTCAAACCAGTCCATACACACTTCTAATGATTTTAATTGATGAGTTTAATATTAAATTTATGTGTTAATTGATGCACTAATTTTGCATATACTTTTAGAACAATAATTATATGTTTATTAGTTTGGAGCTTAATTTTATATCATCTACAAAATCAGTGTTGCTTGGGAGAGCGGGAAAAAAATAAAGCCGATGTTGATAAAAGAGAGTAGTGTGTCTCACGAAATGAATGGTGTATAAATGATTAGTGATTGTGGGTTATATGTGATGTGTACTGAATTTGACTTCAATCTTTTAGCAACTTTTTTAACTCTCCCAAACAAGCACTTAACATTTACTTAGCACAACTCCATAATCGTGCACGCCCTTGTATCAAAATTTTATATTCATTTATTTTTTGTCGAGATAACTAACTTGGAAAAGCCTCAGAGTTCAAATCCCAAAACCCCATCTCGACTTGCCTTCAAACAAAGGCTAACCTACAATACGACCTTAAACAAGTCAAGTTAGCTCATATGCTAGAAATTTTGAGTACTACTCAGCTCGACTCTTTTAAAACCTCTAGCTTTACATGAAGATGTGACTTCACAATATATCATTGATTGATCTGTCATCCATTTCTACAAAAGTCATATGTCACTCTAGACACATCCAAAGTTTGTTCCCACTTTCATTCCCATTTCATCTCACACAAAAACCACCTGTCATATTGTATTCCAAGTTGTTAAATTTCCTCCTCACCTACCTTATTTTCACACAATTAATACCCCACTTAGCTATTAATAATCCTACACACACACACAAACCTATTACATATACCACTCTCATTCTTACTCAACTCATAAACACTTGCATTCCATTCACTAGAAACGTCAGAAATATGAAGAAGTTCTTCTTTACAGCTCTTCTTCTTGTAGCCCTTCTCCTCAGTTCTTCACACATCCGCACCACAATGGCTTCAAGTTCGTAAACCTTTTTCTTTATTTTGGCATTATGGGTTTTGTAAAGTTTGATTCTTTTGTTCATATTACATGCTGATTTTGTGCATGATGTGGTGATTTTTGCTAGGTTTTTGCGATAGTAAATGTGCAGTGAGGTGTTCAAAGGCAGGATTGAAGGACAGGTGCTTGCGTTACTGCGGAATTTGCTGCGAGGAGTGCCATTGTGTGCCTTCTGGGACCTATGGGCACAAGGATGAATGTCCCTGTTATAGGGACAAGAAGAACTCTAAGGGCAAACCCAAGTGCCCTTAGAGAGATCACAATATTTAGCCATGTCCCTTACAGTGGACTCACAGAATTATATACTTCTATAGTATAAATTTTAGGTACTGGTTGGGAATCAAACCAAGGGAATAAAACTTGAGAGTTTTTTGGGTTTCGTTTTGGAGTAATTTCATGAATTATGAGCTTGTTATATGGATCTATGATCCTATGTTATGAGTAATTTATATTGTTGTGATTTTCAATATCTACTTTAAAATATATTATTGCTGTATTTATGAATTATTTGCAGTATATCTTTTTTATTTTCAGTTGATTTGGATGATTCGATCATTCCACCTAGTAAAAGATAAAAATCGCTACACGACGATCAAGATCAACTTTGTTGAGAACAACAAAAAGATAAATAAGATATTTATTTTATTTTTAGTTTATGAATTTTATATGCAGATATTAACTTGAGTGTTGAAAAGACGAGGGTTTTGTGTCTCCTTTTTTGTGCTTACACTTTTAACGTTCCCAAAATTATTTTTCGAGGCAACTGTTAATTGATGAACTTTAAGTGCAATATATCTTCTCTCTTTCTCTCTTTGTTTATAGGGGCATTCGTGGATACTAGGCGTCTATCCTTACCATGTGGCATGGTAAGAAGAGGGGGGCCAAGTATCGATCACTAATATTGCATTCCGTATAGAATTCATCATTTCATTTAGGATAGAAAAAAGAGAGCGGGTCAAATAGGTGATGAGTAGAAGAAGTGGTAAAGGTTTATGTGGATGGCTAGTCGACAAGTAATTAATAAAGTAGTGGGTAGAGAGTACTACTGAATATTGATTATATATTTATTATACTCTAATCAAAATTAACTTCAGAAATACCAAAAATAATAATAATAATATTTAAATTTTGAATTCTATTTTTTTAAATAACAACTAAATAAAACAATTTGACTAATAATGACAAAGCAACTATCGAGGTAGAAACCAATTAAGTAAATGGCTAGGGACAAGGGTGAATTCAGGAGTTGAAGTGAGTACGGGCGGCTAGTTGATCGCTGGTCATAATAAAATATTTAAAATTAAATATAACAAATTATATTATTTTTGATAAAAATAAACATATATTTTCTGCTACACATATCAATTTAGACATAGCGGCCAAGTGCCATTTGCCTCAAATTTACTATCGAGAGTTCGAACCCTTGTTATTGTATTAAGCCACTAAACTTGAATATATATTATTTTGTTAGATTTAATACCATAGTTCAATGAATGCAACGATGGTCAAGGTTTCAATAATTTGAAAGAGGGGTCACAATTTCGAGTCTCCACTCTTGCATTAGTTTTAGTAAAAATTGTTGAATTAGAAAAAAAAAAATACTATAAATTGCTTTGAAGGAGATTAGAACTAGGGATGGCAATGGGGATTGGGGTGGGTTCGGGGTGAGGCGCATGATAAGATTAAGATGTGATACTATAGAAGCTTGCTTTCTGAGGAGTTTTTAGTTTACCATATATTATTTTATCTACATAATTCAAAATGGTTTTTTTCCTTCACGGAACGGGGTTTTAGTTTACCATTTATCATGTTATATGCATAATTCAAAATGACTTTTTTTCCTTCATAGGGTGGGGCGGGGTGGGGCGGGGCGGGGCATCATCGCCTCGCCAACCCATTCAGGGTGGGTTTTTTTCCCATTCAAGGCGGGGCGCAATGAGGCGCCTGTTTTTGCCATCACTAATTAGAACCCAGGTCACCAAATTTGATTGTGAAAGCTTCAATCAACTAAGCCATAAAAAAAGCTTGTAAAGACAGTGAATTATCAGATATCTAATATAAAACTTATATTTATCATCAACAAAAAATAATTGCTTTCGACGGATTCAGTACGGGCGATCGCGGGGCTCACAAAGTGCTTGATCCACCCTTGATTAGGGATCCAAATTTCACTAATTAACATATTTTGGTGTAATTATTGTATCATCGGGTACTAGCCCCATACAAAACAATTGTCTCTTAGCTACTAGTTAATACACACCTAATTAAAAAAACTTTCCTCTCGATTAACGTTTCAATAAAAGTGATGCAAGAAAAAAATAAATAAATAAAAAATAAGTATGACAATTTCATGAATAAGTAGAAATCTTTCTATCTAACAACAAATTCACGAAAAGAAAGATTGATTGCTAATATGCAATCTCTCAATTTAACATGTAACAAATACCATATAATTTAATTTTCATTAACAATCATGAAAATAAATATGGATAACTATTACTACCTCATTTTGTATAAAATTGTTGCGATAGGATTAGCATAAACTTGTTATGTGCATCATCGGAGATTTTACTAATGTTTGTAACATGAAGGGGACAACTCGTCAAGATTTTGGATCCTTTTTTGCTATGTTCTTTCTAGGTGTCATGGTCGAGTGAAGGGAGGACAGTTGACTACTATACGTTCTTAGAAATAATCGATAATAACTGTAAAATTAGGAGTATAATAAAAGCAATAGCGTATTCTTAAGAAAATAACTCGATAACTACAATAAATATTCACCCATATTTAGCAAATCATAAAGTGATGAACAATCTATGTTCATAGAATGAGGACAATACAAGATTCTAGATTTTTCTTTTCTTTTTTTTAAATAAAAGAAAAAGAAAGGGACGAAAACTATTTTACAATTATTGTTATGTCCCTTTTCATACACCCAAAATCAAAGAGACAATAACCCATTACCTTTCTTTATTACCCATATTACACTTCTAGAGAGCTCTAACACTAAAATCATCTAATTTATGCAATGAAATATGATGGAAAAGGTTAATTGAAAAGGGATCACTATCAATATCAATGCAATTTGATCATCAAAGAGATTGTGGCTTATCACAATATCTTATATTATCGTACGGTGAATCTTTTGACACTTTATTTATTTATTTTTTACAACTTTATAAAACGCATTGCTGTAAATTTCATATAGTCACTAAACTTTTAAAAGTGTAAGTTGAGTCTTTAAACTAAAATTAATTTTAATTTGAGTAAAATTTTTTAAGCTTAGGCAAGTGCGCCATACAAGAGAGTAATAATTTTAAAAATTGTGAAGACATCGGAGAAAATTATTTATGTAATGTAGTTATTAGATTTGAATTCGAAATCTTTGCTCGAGCCATATGGCTTGAATTTTTATCTTATCAAAATCAAATAATCAACTCCTTTGTTTTTTATATATGTAAAAATGTAATTGCCCCCCGGAGCATAGCCTAGTAGTGCAAAGGATAAGAGTGATGTTATCTCACGCCTTGTTGGCAGCCGCAGTGTGGGGGGTTCGATTCCTGAAACATGGAATTAGACTCTTTGTAGGCGCAGTGTACAGGTAACTCTTATTCCCTGACCTGCTAGGGCATATGCCGCAACTTACCTTCCTCACAAAGTTCTAGTGGTAGGGCGGTGGGGGCCTTCAAGGTTGGGGTTCAACTTTTTTTTTTCTTTTTTTTATTAAAATGTAATTCATGGGAATAATCATTTAAGTAGTTATTTTAATTAACGCGATCCATTAGTACCTAGTCTTGCATTTATTTAAGGTAATTTTCTATGTTAGGTACTGCTATTGATAAACTCAATTCTATATAAATATGTACATTTATTATTCTGATAACTATTGTTAATGTTACCTGAAAACTGATCAAAGTAATCGGTTTCAATCCGATTAAAATTTTATAGTTAACTAAATGGTTTTGATTTGGTTCGACATTCCAGCTAAAGAACTATATTTAACTTAATTTCAATATTTTTATAATTTCTCAATTAAATTAATTTGTAATATGAATAATCAATTTTATAATTTCAAATAAAATAGTTTGAAATTAAAACTAGAATTAATAAAACCCAGTTCACGTGTTATACTTTTTTTTTTCCCTATATTTCTCAAAGCAATTAAAAAGTTATACGAGATTGAGCTAGGACCAATCAATTCTGATTTGATTTGATTCTATCATGGGATATACAATCGTTAAGTTCCATGTATTCGTATATTTAGCTACTGTTCGATTTCTATTAATTTTAAAATTTCTTTTTCTTTTTCTTATTTTCAACAATATATTTTTCAATAAAATAATATTACTTACAAATCTAAAATTTTTCCTTACTTTTTAACCACACATTCTCCATCAAAATGCTATTCAAAAATACATTTTCATCAAAAAAATAGACTCAAACATGCTATTAATTTATTACACTTATGAATACCTATTCAAACCAGTCCATACACACTTCTAATGATTTTAATTGATGAGTTTAATATTAAATTTATGTGTTAATTGATGCACTAATTTTGCATATACTTTTAGAACAACAATTCTATGTTTATTATTTTGGAGCTTAATTTTATATCATCTACAAAATCAGTGTTGCTTGGGAGAGCGGGAAAAAAATAAAGCCGATGTTGATAAAAGAGAGTAGTGTGTCTCACGAAATGAATGGTGTATAAATGATTAGTGATTGTGGGTTATATGTGATGTGTACTGAATTTGACTTCAATCTTTTAGCAACTTTTTTAACTCTCCCAAACGAGCACTTAACATTTACTTAGCACGATTCCATAATCTTGCACGCCCTTGTATCATAATTCTATATTCATTTATTTTTTGTCGAGATAGCTAACTTGGAAAAGCCGCTGAGTTCAAATCCCAAAACCCCATCTCGACTTGCCTTCAAACAAAGGCTAACCTACAATACGACCTTAAACAGGTCAAGTTAGCTCATATGCTAGAAATTTTGAGTACTACTCAGCTCGACTCTTTTAAAACCTCTAGCTTTACATGAAGATGTGACTTCACAATATATCATTGATTGATCTGTCATCCATTTCTACAAAAGTCATATGTCACTCTAGACACATCCAAAGTTTGTTCCCACTTTCATTCCCATTTCATCTCACACAAAAACCACCTGTCATATTGTATTCCAAGTTGTTAAATTTCCTCCTCACCTACCTTATTTTCACACAATTAATACCCCACTTAGCTATTAATAATCCTACACACACACACAAACCTATTACATATACCACTCTCATTCTTACTCAAAAAAAAAAAAAAAAAGCGCTATAAATTGCTTTGAAAGAGATTAGAACTAGGGATGGCAATGGGGATTGGGGTGGGTTCGGGGTGAGGCGCATGATAAGATTAAGATGTGATACTATAGAAGCTTGCTTTCTGAGGAGTTTTTAGTTTACC